TCAGGGTAGAAGCTGTTCCTCAGTCTAGTGGTTCTACACTTAATGCTCCTCAACCTCCTTCCTGAGGGGAACAGGGCAAAAAGTGTGTGCGCTGGGTGAGTGAGGTCCTTCATGATGCAAGTGGCCCTCTTTCTGCATCTGGAGGTGTAGATGTCTGTGATGGTGGAGACTGACTCCAACATCTTCTGTGCAGCCTTCACCACTCTCTGCAAAGCTTTTCTTTCTGCAGCTGTGCAGCCTCCATGCCACACGTTGATGCTGGAGCACAGGATGCTCTCCACTGCACACCTGTCCACTATGGGAGTGTGCTGTTTGTGGTGGGACTCAGTTTGTTGGTAGCTCCTTAGATTGAAGTCCTTTGGATGAAGGACAAAACGTCTCAGCAAAAAAAAAAAGAAACTGTCCAGATGACCTGACTGAACATTGTTGGATTATTACTTGGATTATTGAGCATGAACTTTGGTATAGCTGCAACATGATAAACTGTACCCAATGTTTAATTACATGTGATCATGGAAGCAGGAACCTCACAGCACAAGGATTCTACTAAGGTACTTTATGACTGTGCATTGCATTATTTTATAAAGTATTTTATCTGTTATGTTTGCAAATGTCACAAAGTGACAAGCAAAGGGCAACCACAACACGGCACATTTAAACAAGGAACATTTGTTCATTAAAATTATTTAACAATCAAATGTTCATAATATTTTGTTTTCATGCTTAAACAGAAGTGGCCAACTAAACTAGAGAGGGCATTCATACTAAAAAACAATAATTCAAGCTGTAGATTGGAGCTGCACTTCATCCTTTAGGCTACCAGATGCTACCAAAGAGGACTGAGTTGACAACTGGAGTCTTTCGTTGCAAACTTCAATGCTTCAGAAATCTTCATTTGGCCATCACTACCAAAGTCTGTTCAGTTGTAGATGCACATCCAGTGATTACTTTCTGGGAGTTTCATCAAACTACGCCCAGTGGTTCATGAAAAATTTTGCTAACAGACAAACAAGATTGAGTCCAACAGTTCAAAAGCTTTAAACTAAAGATCCAGCATAATCTCTTAGTGTGAAGTTATTTGTTGGGGATGGCTCTCAGCTACTACCACAATGAAGTCTGTAAAACTGATTAAGTTGGAATCATTTTTGCAATTATCTCTTCTTGAACTTTTTTTTTTTAATCTGCCCACTGGATCACCAGATATTTTGCTAACAGACAGTGAGAGGGTGAACAGTCGTTTGTTTCACTTGTTTCTGTGTGACACTGTGATGTGCAACGTGCACAGTGTCCACCACACACTGCACTTTGAACGCTGGACATACTGTAGGAAGCAGCCCCCCCCCCCCCACACACACACACACACACCCACACACACACACACACCACCACCACCCTGCATGGATAAATGGGTAAAGAAAATGAACGAATTATTCTGCCGGTTCAAATCCCGGTCCGGGGCCTTTCTGGGTGGAGTTTGCATGTTCTCTCCGTGCATGCGTGGGTTTTCTCCGGGTGCTCCAGTTTCCTCCCACAGACCAAAAACATGCATGTTAGTCTGATTGGTAACTCTAAATTGTCCATAGGTGTGAGTGAGAGAGTGAATGGTTGTTTGTCTCTATGTGTCCCTGTGATGGACTGGAGACCTGTCCAGGGTGTCCCCCGCCCCTCGCACAGTGATTGCTGGACATGGGCACCAGCGACCCCCATGACCCAAAATGGAAGAAGCGAGTAAAAGATAATGGATGGAATTATTCCATTCATTTCCTCCAATTTAACTCGATTAATCTACAATATTTCTGTAATTACTGAAAATCCATTTAAATTCCAGTTAGGCAACGTAACAGAAAGCTCATTCAAACCAGTTTTTGTTGGTGTGTTTTTTTCCAAACAGAAGGCCTAAAGTAAGTTTCCAACCAATTTGGGGATTGGAGCCAACTCATCAAAGATAAAATGTGAGGCCAACGTCTGAACTATTGTCAGACTGGCAGCTATTCACAGGCAGCCTGCTGGAAAGACACCTGATTGTAATCTTGAACTTCTACAAGAACATTGTTTCCAAAAGCAAAAAATAAAACGCACTGTCAACCGTGCAAACAGCATTCAGATATAAAATTTTCTAAATGAAATTTTAAAGAATAATCTTTTCATTTTAAAATTTTCTTTCATTCGAAGGTTTCCCTCTTGAATTGCTGAGTGAGTCCCTGCTTCCTTTGACACGGGTCAGCCTGACCCAGCTAATTAATTTCCCCTTGAAAAGCCTCCACGGTTGATGAATCGGTCGGTGGGGCTGCTCTCTGCACAAGAACTAGAATGTGAAGTAAGCCCATCAAAAAGAGGAATGGAAATCCAAAGAAAGACCTCCCTTTTCCCCCATCGTCCCAATAATAAAAAGTTTTTTTGTTGTTCTGAAGACTAATTGGGCTTTGGACATTCTCTGACTGGGCTGCTATGTAACAGTCCTTGTAACCGAACAGTGGGAATGTTTCTAAGCAACCAGGAGAGTGAAGGTCCAACCAAGGATTTATAAACACTTGATCGGCTGTGATTTATTTGGTACAGGAATGTGGATCACCTTAAAAAGCAGAGGAGGGAGGTCTGCATCTCATCAAATCCACTTTCATCGTCAGGGACAGGAGACGATAAGACAGGTGAGTAAAACTGATTTTATTTTATGGACCAGAAGCAGAGCAGGGGACTTAAAGATGCATATATTTTGTGATTTGTCAAAATAAGCTGCATTTGCATGATCAGAAAATTGGGTGATGTTTGCTGTCATGCTGAGAAAGAAGAATATAAGGTAATTTGTACACTTGTTTGGCCACTTATGTTACTAGTGTTTTATTTATTTATTAATTTATTTTAGTTTCATCAAATTGATGTGATAATTGTGATCATTTTGAATATTTTTCCTCTTAGTTAAGTTTTTGCATGAAAGTGTCTGAATCTCAACTTTGACACTAAATGAAGACGTGAGCAACTTAAAACAAAGTTTAGTGCTTTTACTTGTTTAAACATACAAAATGTTATAATCTTTCTAAAAAGTTTTTTTTTTAAATAAGTGACCTTCATTCTTATTATTTAAATAAAATTGATATTTTATTTATACATTAGCACGGTCAAACACAATATGCTCATGTAGGTTTTAAAAGTTTTTATTTTTCTCAGTGCAGTGGAGGATATTTCATCAATTGTTTTGTAAAAAGTTATTAAAACATAAAAAATATCCTACATAAAATAAAAAGATGGTTTAGAATCTAATATTGCTGTAAAACCCAGTGATTTAAGGACATGCAGACATGAACTCAGTAAATTAAAGTGTACGTTTTGTTTGCTGAAAATGGAAAATTGGGGTTTTCTCTCAGCAGATATCAGACGCAGTGAGTCTAACTTGTTGTGCATTACTCACTGAACCTGCAGAGGTGATGATGCAACCAGAGGAGTTCACCGTGGGCCACACCATGGTTAACAGTCTGCCTACAGTCACCTCCCTCCTGCTGCTTCTGCTACTCCTGGTTCTGTTGATCACCGCCTGGAGCCGAACACATCGGTCTCACACACCAGGTACAACATCAATCAATCAACCTTTATTTATACAGGTAAATCCCATTGAGCCTCGAGGACTCATTTACAAGAGAGACCTGATTTCAACAAAGAAAGATGACAACAATGGACAACAGCAACAACAATAAGCAGTTATAAAAACTCATACTACAGTTTTTTTTTTTTGTTTTTTTTTTTTTAACAAATAGGATGGCTAAAAGGAAAAAGGTAACAAAACAAAAAAAAACAGCTAGATTCCAAGACAAATGTATAAAACTAAAAACAGGAACATGTCTGCATTGGTCCCTGCCAGGAGTCC